GGCTCAGGGGACAGATGTGGCCGCGCGCCTAGGAGGGGGCCCAAGCCCGCCAGCAGCCTAGAAGTGGGACTCAGCTGGGGGTGCTCTGGGAGGGGGCTCAGGATGATGAGCAGCCTGGCGGCCAGGAGGGGAGGCCTCTGTCTGTGGGCAGGTAAGGAGGTGGCCGGGTGGTCCTGGGTGGGATGCCTGGCCCATGGCTGCCCAGGATGAGCTGGGAAGGCCGTGGGGGCTGGCAGAGGGTGGAGTGTCCCACTGAGCAAGGCGGGAGGGCCTCGTGACCTCTGGGTGGGCTGCTCAGAATCTTGTGTCATGATTCCAGAATCTTCGGGTCTAGGAGCAGCAGAATGTCGGAGCTGGACTAGGCCAGATGCATCCTGTTACTCCACATCCTGGGCTTGGGGGGCAGCTCTCCCGAGCTCCTCTGTGCCAGGCACAAGGCCTGGTTCACTCCTATTTAATCTCTTCACCAACCCTGGGAGGTGGGTACATGTGTCTTCCCTTTAATGGGCATAAATGAGGTCCAGAGAGGAGAAATGACTTGTCCAAGGTCACACAGAAATTTGGAAGGGCTTGTGGGGTGTGCTCCAATGGAGGTCAGACCCCCAGCTGAGGGTGGAAATCAGGCAGTACCCATTGGATGACCCAGGCCTCTGGAGGAAGGCCTGGGGTGCAGAGGCAGAAACAGCAGGGGCGTTCGGCCGGCATCTGCCAGGGCTGCCTCTAGAGAGGCCAGCATGGCCAGGAGGTACTGATGATTTAGGAACAGAAAGAACTGGGCTTGAATCCTGGGTTCCCACTCACCAGCTGGGTGACCTTCTCCTGGTTACTTAACCTCTCTGACCCTCTGCTTCCTCCTCCCTCCTACCTCCTGGACTTCCTGAGCATCCCCTGCTGCAGCTCCAGGCCTCTGCCCAGGAACAGTGTTGCAGGTTGAGCTTTGTTGCTTCTGTTAGCGTCTACTGAGTGCTGGGTGATGGACCCAGAGGGGTCCGGGCCGAGGGACAAAGGAATGAGAGGGACAGGGTGTCTGGCGTCCCGAGGGGCTGTCCTTGATTACTGCAGGGCTGGGAGCAGCTACTCACTCTCTCTTGCCTGTCTCCTCTCCAGAGCAGCCTTCTGAGCAGTCCGCCCCCGGCTTTCAGCCGAGCTTGTGCCAAAGATAAACCAGACAGCGAGGAAAAGTCCTTCCCTCCCCAAAATGAGCTGATCACGCCCAGGATTCCACTCCTTCAAGAAAAGACGGCACAGAAATTGCAGGTCTGGCTTCCCCACGTGGAAAGCTGTCATTTCCCGGCTTGGGGTGCCTGGGAAACCTGGACAGAGAGGGTGGGTGGAGGCCAAGTGGAGGCAGGGAGTCTCAGGGAGGCCGGGGCCGGGAGGGGCTGCTTCATCCCTGGGGTGAGGAGGGTCTGCCTGGCAGGTTTGCGCATGTGGGTTCGCCTATGTGCGGGGCTGCAGGGCGCTGGACTCCGAGCTCCCCTCACCCCCCACCCCCGCTTCCCCCGAGGGCATCTGTCCCTGAAGCCTGGAAATTAGGCTCCCTGCCCCTCTGGGGATGCTCCGCTGCCTCCTGCAGCCCTGGGCTGTGATTGGCCGCAGTGGGTCCTCTGTACAGAGGCTCTGCCACCAGCAGTGGATGGCGAGGTGGACAGTGACGTCGGGCACTCCCCTCCCGCAGGCCCAGGAAGCAGGACTTTAAGGTCCTAGATGCCACCGTCCCCTGGCTGCTGCTGGCCTTTGGAATTCAGTGTTCTATGATTCAAGGACACGAGCTTAAAGATCCACGAGTCCCAGTCCCCGGGCTCTGTCCTAGGAGTCTTACAGCCCAGGAGCAGGCTGGAGAGGTCTGCAGAGGCCAGGGAGCTGGCCGGCCACGGCCCTCCTGACCTGGCCTTAGTCTGGGAGCCTGTGAAATGGAGGCCGGTGCTCACGGGAGTCTTCCTGGATGTGCCTTTTCTTAGCTGTGCACCGGAGCCTGGGGCCTTCCTCCCTCCCTCCCTCTCATTCGCTTGTCCCTCTCAGTCCTTGTGACGCTACAGGCACCAGCTTTGCATGGAGGGTGGCACTGTTGGATTCCGCGGTACACAGCTGGTGGCACTGAGCGTCCTGTAGCCCACGTCCAGATTCCCCGGCTCAGGAGACCCACGAGAGCCTGGGGGGTGGGGCGGGTTGAGGACAGGCTGGGGGCTCCCCCATTCTGGAATCCTGGAGCCGGGAGGGTGCTGGGAGCTCAGGCAGCCTCGGCTGAAGCGGGAGGAGATGCGGCTCAGGGGTCCTTAGCCACCCTCGATGCCCGATGCCCAGCTGGCACCAGGAGCCGGCTCCATGCTCACCCACCCTGAGGCGGTGGCTGGGGATAGGGACCCCCGTCCCAGGAGCTGTGCACCTTCCAGTGGGGCCAGGCAGGCACCGGTCCCACGGGAGGGACTTCAGGCCTGGTGCCGGTCAGCTGCAGGAGGGGGAGGGAGGGTGGTGGCTGAGAGGTGTCCTCCCCCTCCGGGTTTCTGCAGGGGAATCAGAGACAGCCAGGGCCGTCACTAGGAAGGAGGGGCGCAGTGGAGAGTCCAGGCCAGAGACAGTCAAGCGCTCAGCCTTGGCCAGGCCTCCCTGGAGCCGGAAGTGCTGCGGAGGCTGCCAAGGCCGAGTCCCCTCCCCAGGGACCTGCAGTGCCATTCCCAGCAGTCCCAGTTCTTCACGCTGAGGACAGTGACTGACTCAGAGGGAGTGGCTGCTGTGTGAAGTGACAGGTAGGGGACAAAGCCAGATGGGGGTCTCCACGCTACGGAGACCACAGTCTGCCCCGGGGAGCCTGGGGGAGCCTGGGCTGCTGAGGCAAGACGGAGGCTGCCCGGGCCCCGGGATGGCAGGTGCCTGTGGTGCAGGGGATGCCCTCCTGCCCGCGCTTCCAGACCCACCTGGGAGGTCCTGTGCCCCTGCCTGCAGCTGGGGAGGTGCTGCTGTCCAGCACCCACCACACGTGCTGCAGGGCCTTCCATTCCCAGTCGCCCGGGAGGAGAAGGGCACACGGGCACCCATGCCGCCCACAGCCCCCTCCTGGCCGGGCCTCTGAGCACAGTGGACCCAGGCAGAGAGTTGCTCATGGCTCTGACTCCCAGGGGAGGGGCACCTCAGAATCTAGCTCTTGACTTCATTTGATGTCAGGAATCTTCCAGAAAAGACCCAGACATGGTCAATTCTTTTTCCCCTGGTACCAGAGGTTGAACCTAGGGGCGCTGAACCCCTGAGCCCCATCCCCAGCCCACTATTGTATATTTTGAGACAGGGTCCCACTACGTTTCTCAGGGCCTGGCTAAATTGCTGAGGCTAGCCTTGAACTTGGGATCCTCGGGGCATGGTGGATTTCACCTGGAGTTTTGGAGGTTCATGGATCCTCTGAGGTTCATCTAGGGACCCGGGCTGCAGGTTGAGGATTTGGGATGTGAAGACTGTTTTCCAGATGAGGCGACAGAGGCCTGTAAGTGCATTGCAGGAATTATTTCACGTTCCACCATCATTCAAGCGCGTGACCGAGCACAGTCACTTTTCTCAGTTTCTCATCTGAGAAACCGGACAGCACCGTTCAATCCTGCTGGGCTGGCAGAGTGACCAAGGAGAAGGTGCACCAGGCCCTGGGTGCGGCTGCGGGAGGTCTCCCAGGTCACCACAATGGGGGAGGGGCGGCACAGAGCCCACCATCCCCTGCCATCACTCAGCAGTGTCCTCCTCTCCAGGCCACTAGCTGACCACTGCCCGGCTGCCCTTGGCTATGGACACCCCTGGCTATCCTTCACTGGTGCCCACGACCTCGGACCCGGGGAACACCTCCTCCTCCTGGCTCCTGGATGTCACTGCCGGCAACGCCTCCTCGGGCCCTGGCCCTGCGGGGCTGGCCGTCAGCGGTGTTTTGATCCCTCTGGTCTACCTGGTGGTGTGCGTGGTGGGGCTGCTGGGCAACTCGCTGGTCATCTACGTGGTCCTACGGCACACGGCCAGCCCGTCGGTCACCAGCGTCTACATCCTCAACCTGGCGCTGGCCGATGAGCTCTTCATGCTGGGGCTGCCATTCCTGGCCGCCCAGAACGCCCTGTCCTACTGGCCCTTTGGCTCCTTCATGTGCCGCCTGGTCATGGCGGTGGACGGCATCAACCAGTTCACCAGCATCTTCTGCCTCACGGTCATGAGCGTGGACCGCTACCTGGCCGTGGTGCACCCCGCGCGCTCCGCCCGCTGGCGCACAGCGCCCGTGGCGCGCACGGTCAGCGCGGCCGTCTGGGTGGCCTCGGCCGTGGTGGTGCTGCCCGTGGTGGTCTTTTCGGGCGTGCCGCGGGGCATGAGCACCTGCCACATGCAGTGGCCCGAGCCGGCGGCCGCCTGGCGGGCGGGCTTCATCATCTACACGGCGGCGCTGGGCTTCTTCGGGCCGCTGCTGGTCATCTGCCTGTGCTACCTGCTCATCCTGGTGAAGGTGCGCTCGGCGGCGCGCAGGGTGCGGGCGCCCTCGTGCCCGCGGCTGCAGGCGCCCTCGTGCCCGCGGCGGCGGCGCTCGGAGCGCAGGGTCACGCGCATGGTGGTGGCGGTAGTGGCGCTCTTCGTCCTCTGCTGGATGCCCTTCTACGTGCTCAACATCGTCAACGTGCTGTGCCCGCTGCCCGAAGAGCCCGCCTTCTTCGGCTTGTACTTCCTGGTGGTGGCGCTGCCCTATGCCAACAGCTGTGCCAACCCCATCCTCTACGGCTTCCTCTCCTACCGCTTCAAGCAGGGCTTCCGCAGGGTCCTGCTGCGGCCGTCCCGCAGAGTGCGGAGCCAGGAGCCCGTGGCCCCCGAGAAGACGGAGGAGGACGAGGAGGAGGAGGGAGAGGAGGGCGGGGAGGAGGAGGAGCGGGGAGGGAGGAAAGGCCAGGAGACGAACGGCAGGGTCAGCCAGGTGGCGCAGCCCGGCACCAGCAGGCAGGAGCAGCCGCCCGGCAGAGCGGCCAGCAAGGAGCAGCAGTTCCTGCCCCAGGAGCCCTCGGCCGGGGAGAAGTCCAGTACCCCACACATCAGCTACCTGTAAGGGTCCTGGGAGGAAGGGCGGGGCCTGCGGCCAGCCGAGGGCATCCTGTCTGAGGTCTCAGAGGCCCAACATGGGATGTTCAGAGGCCTGCAGTGGGATCCCACTGCTGGGTGGCCTTGGCAGATGGCTTACCCTCTCTGGGCCTTATTTCCTTCTCTGTAACTCAGGGGTGGGAATACTGAGCCTGGATGAGCTCGGTTAGATTGAGGGGTCTGGAGGGCGTGGCTCCTGGGCTGACCTTCTTGAGTGGGGCCCAGGTTAGGGGCTCTGCAGCCTGTCCCTCAGACATGGAGCCTCCTGGGGATGAGCCTGCACCTCGGCCCTCAGAGGGACAAACCAGGCCTGAACTTTCTGGGCTCACACTCAGGGATGTGGGAGATGCTGGGGAGCAGACAGGAGCCCCAACAGAAGAAGTCCAAGTCTGGGGGAGGGGCAGCGGAACTGCTCAGGCCCCAGGTCAGTTCTCCCTGGCCCTTGAGGCCCCCTTTATCTCTGGCCTCACATGCTGCCAACTCAGTGACCTCCAGGCCCTTGTGGCCCAAGTGGTCAGCGCAGGACCTCGCGTGCTGCCGAGCGTGACGAGAGGAGGCAGATTTTCCAGGAAGTCCAGCTTCAGGCTGTCTCGCTGCCTGGGCCTTTTGAGGCCCCGGGTCTAACCTTGTCCTTGTGACTGACATTCCTTTCCTTGGAGAGGGACTCCACGCTTGGGCCACCCAGAGCCTAGCGGGGTCCTGTTGAGGTCAGCCACTGACTTCAGGCAGCTCACTGTAGGGGCTCCAGAGCTGCCCAGGTCGTGGAGGGCTGCAGGCATCTCCTTCAGGACCAGCCCCGTCCTCCTCCTTTCGACCCGTGTCCCCTCACAGACAAGATGGACATGACCCCCACAGATGGTGCAGGAAGGCAGAGCTGGGAGGGTCACAGGGGAGGAGGTTAGGGGAGAAGAGGAGGACAGGGAGGGACAGGAAGAGAAGGAGGAGGACAGGTCTGTTTGGGGACCTTGGAGCCGTCCTTGGCCCTTGGCTGGACCGAGGCCCTGGGAGTGGAGCTGGCCCCCAGGGCAGCGGGGAGGTTGGAGAACTGCAGGCTGCGGGAGCCGGCCTCCCTGTTTTCTGTATTCCATGGGGGAATACAGGGAGCAGCCTCTGTCCAGGTCCCTCCCAGAGCTGACCCTGTAGGGCCACCATGAGGCTGGCCCTGGGGAGGGGGTGGTCCTTCTGCTAAGCCCCGCCCCCCTCAGAGGGCAGGCGCTCCTCAGGGAAAACACAGGAGCCAGGAGAGTGGAGACCTGGTCTCTGGCTCACCTCAGGACCCTTTCTGGCCTTGACCTCTCTGGGCCTCAGTTTCCCCATCATGAAACAGAGGTGACATCCAGCTGGCTGCCTGCTGGGATCTGGAGAGACAAACACGTGAGTGGGTGGGTTACCGAGCTCCTGCCAGGGGCACCTTGGATCACGGAGCGGGCGCACCTCCACCCCCAGGGCTGGCCTGCACCCTCCTCTTTTAGCAAGTGGCCTCTGTATTGGGCTTTTGGAGGTGAGAACACCGTAGGCCACGAAGAATGGGGATTAGGAGGCCAGAGGTCAAGGGTCAGGGAGGCAGGGCTAGGAGAAGAAGTTCCCACAGCCAGACCTCCTGGCGGTTGGAGGTCAAACACCCAGCTCTGGGGCTCAGTCTGGGGTTCCCCTGAGGAGAATCTGAGGGTCTTCCCTGGCTGACTGTGCTCCCCAACTCCTGGCGCAGGTCAGCAATGGGTCTGGGGACTGGTTACGACATCTTTTACTGCTTCTGCCCCTAGCACTTGTCAATAAAGACGGTGGCACACGACAAGAGCCATGGCCTGGGCCAATTCTTCTGCTGGCTGCTGTGTGTTCAGATGGGTGTGAATGTGTGGGTGTGGGGAGCCCACATTTTTTTTCTGAACTGGGGATTGAACCCAGGGGTGCTCTACCCCTGAGACACACCTCCAGCCCTTTTAGTTTTTATTTTGAGACACTGTCTCACCAAGTTGCAGTGTCTGGCCTTGAACTTGCAATCCTCCTGTCTCAGGCCCCCGAGCTGTTGGGATTACAGGTGTGGGCCCACATTATTACTTTATGGAACGACATGACTTCACGTCCCAAGCACCTTCCAGTTTCATGAGGATGCTCGCTTTACTTCCTTGATCTTGGTGTCTTAGCTGAGAAACAGGGACAACTTGCTGGATTTGGTACATCAAGCTCTTGGCTCGGGTACAGGAGGTCTCCAAGAGAGTGGTGGCACAGAGACAGCCATCTCTGGCCATGAAGGAGCTGTGCCCTCCCTCCCCCAGGTCACTGCTGACTTGACAAGCCTCCTCTTGATCACGGACCCCTGCTTATCCACCGGGTGCATGTGAGCTGGGAACACAGTGTGCTCTATGTACCCGCTTCTTTTGGTGTGACTTCCCAGAGTTCAGGTGCTTCAAGGGGCCTAGCAAATGCCAGGCCTGGGCCACATCCTTGCAGATGTCGATCCCAAGGCCGCAGGTACCATTTCTTCCTATTTTCCAATTAGCAAATCTCATAGAAGAAAGCCGATTGGCTCCAACCCAGTCACATGATGGTCCCTTGGGCCAATTACCAAAGACAAGGTGACAGGGTTCCATGACTGGCCAAATGCGGGTCCATGTGTCTCCACCTCCAGCCAGAGAAAGGTGAGGCGCTGTGGGGGGACACCGGCTAAGGCGGGGGAAGGAGGTCAGGGACATATTAGTGATGGCGGAGAAGGCAGGCCAGGCATCCGCAACGAAGCCGCGCAGTGCTCGCTGGGCACGGTGGTGAAGGTCTGGTGAGCGCAGTGCAGGGCCGACTAGGTGCTCGGGACCTCTCAGGTGAGCGTGTCTTGGGCGTTCCCTGTGGCAGGCCTGCGTGGAGTGAGCGCAGAGGACTCCGGGAGCCAGGGCACCGTGTGGGAGCCAGGCCACCTCGTCGGGTCCCTCCTCTGGTCCCTTCAGTTCCATACTTCTCCACACCATGTCACTGCCTATGTGTACCCCCAGGCACGCATGTGTGTTGGTGTCCTTATCCCATGTATCTGACAGCCTTGTCCCTCCCAGGGCAGGACGTTGCCTGACGCGCCTGCATCTCGGGTCTAAGCTGCGCGCTCTCCCTGTACCTGGAATCAAAGCACGAGCAGGACCATTGCGCTTCACACCTGCAGGGGGCACTGCGCACACCGTGCCGCTAACCCTCCTTTGGAGTTCTGCCTGGCAGAACTGAATAATGGTGGCAATTGAATAAACGGGTGTGTGGGGCTGCGGAGGGGATTGGCTGGGGAGACTGAAGGGGCTCCATTTGGCATTTGGGCTAGAATCTATGGGGGAGGGGAGCCCAGGGGCTCCAGGATGAGGGGAGGGTCTGTGGCTGAGAGGTGGAGTGGGAAGGGAGGGACCACCCACTCTATCTGAGTCGTCCTCTCTAGCCATCCAAGTTGTCAGACTCCAGCCCTTACCTTGAACTTGTCTCTCAGAAGTGGTTGCCAGGCAACAGCCCACGTCCACCAGGCTCTGGGCCACAACTTGTCGTGTTGGCATCCGCATTGCCAGAGAGCATCTGGGAGTCACAGGACCCGTGGGAGGGGAGGCGGAGGCCCTCAGATCTTTGGGCTCCTCCTTGCTTGGAAGGGGTGATAGAGGCCACCGACCCAAGGGTAGGTGACAGCCTGCAATGTATGGGACTCCTGACTCAGAAAAAACTCTCATGAAGCCAGAATCCCAGAGAGCGGCTCACATGGCTTCCTGGAGTTGTGCAAGGCCACCGGCCACCAAGGCCTCAGGCACTCCTTGTCACTGGCAGCCCTGCTGAGAGTCTTGGTGGCTCCACTGTGGGGCAACGAATGCCCTGAAAGTCCCAGGACCCAAAGTCAGGAGTCCCAGGTCCTAGGCCCCTCTCTGCCATAAGCCTCGTGTGGCCTCCAGCCATTTATGTCACCTGTATGCACATGGTTCATTTTGTTAACGAAGGTTTTTCTGGCCACCAACTATATGATGGGCCCGACACAGGGTTGGAAACCAGGAGGCCATGGACACAGGACTGTGCCCCAGCACTCATGAGCAGACCCTGTGGGTCACTATGCTCTGGGCTCTGGGCGAGCAGAGCTCGGCTGCACTGACCCGGATGTTGCAGCCTAAGGCAGGGATCTGGGTGCGCGAGCCCTGGGGCTGAGGAGTGAGTAAGTGAAGGAAGACAGACGGTGGAGGTGAGGCTCGCTCCAGGGACAGGTGGGGACAGGCAGGGCCTGCTGGGGGTTAGTTCCTATTAGGGCCTGAACCATATCCACCCGAATTCATAGTCAAAGAAGTCCTTACCCCAGGACCTCAGAATGTGACCTGAAACAGGATAGCATTGTTGCAGATGTTTGTCAAAGTGAGGTCAGACAGGTGAGGCCAGACAGGTGAGGTCAGACAGCAGCAGGGGGTCTCCTGATCCAATGGGACTGGTGCCCAAGGAGAGGAGAGATTTGGACACAGAGGTGCACAGAGGGAGAATGCCACAAAAATACGGAGGTGAGGTGATGCCTCTCCAGCCAAGGACGCGAGCGATGGCCAGCCAGCCACCAGAGGCCAGGAGAGGAGCATGGACCAGGACGCCTCCATCTGGACAGCCAGCCTCCAGAAGCCCGAGGCAGGCCTTTGTGGTGCGGAAGCCTGCGGGCCTGCCGTGCTTCGTCAAGGCTGCCCTAGCACATGGAGACCATCCCCGCCTGCCCTCCCGGGTCCCTGGAGGATTCCTTCCCTCCTTCCACAGGTGACTTATCGGGTGCTGTCAACTGCCCAGGATGGAGAGCAGAGATGGACAAGGCCTGTCTTCTAAGAGCCCAGGACGTTCCAGCGAAGAGGCACTTCTGAAGCCCATAACTCCTGTTCCGGGTGGGAAAACAGACCTGGGATGGGAGGTGACGCGTACAGAGCTCTGCAGAGGAGGGACAGGGCATGGCCTCTCGGCCTTGCTTTCTGCTTTAATGACCAGGTAATGTGTCAATATTTACTCATGGGAATGGCAGGCCCGCCACGCTGGTCAGCACACCCAGAGCAGGCTTCGCGTCTCCATATGCAAGACCACAACGGTCTCTACTCTCTGCTGTGTCCCTACCACCTGCTCACGGGGCCAGGAGGGTCTCGCCCTGCTCTGGCCATACTCAATGGCCCCTATCTATTATGGGATGAGGGAAGCATAGGCTTGCCTGTTTACCTGAGCAAAATGGCAGGTAGGCTCTTGGCCACGCAAGATTGGAACCTAGCTGCAACCCTTCTTAGCCCTAAGTGCCTCTGAGCCAGTCTTAGAACCTCTCTGAGCCTCAGTTTCCTCATCGGCGAAATGGGCTCCACAACCCCATCTCACAGGACCAGGAGGCTGAGGCTTGTTGGCTCCCACGGGGGTCAGCTCTGAGCCCTCTGTCCGGCAGGGGGCGCCACGGGACCTCAGGCACGTCCCCTTTCCCCTCGGCGCCCGCCCCGCTCGGACTCAGCCCGACTCAGCTCTACTCGGCCCCGCCCCGCTCGGATCCACTAGGCCAGGCTCGGCTCTGTTCGTTTGGAGCCGTCTGGGCTCGGCTGGACTCGGCTCTATTCGGCTGCACGCGACCGGACTCGGTTCCGCTTAGGCAAGCCCGGCCTCGTTCGGATGTGCTCGGCTCGGCTCGGCGCTCGCCACCGGGAGCTGACGGCTGTTTGCGCTCAACGTGTCGGGGTTCCGGGGTGCAGCCCCGGGCGCCGGGACCGAGCTGCATGCTAGCCCTCGCGCAGGCCGGTCCTTGCGGATGGATCCCGTGTGGCTGGGCGCCGAGGGTGCCCTGAGCGTGGCCGCGGTCGTGGAGATGAAGTTCCGTCAGGGTCACTCAGTGTTGGGGACTCGGTGGAGCCGACCGGGGCTCCCCCCGCTGGAGGCCAGGCGGAGTGGTGCTGCTGGCGAGAGGAACCCTGCCACTTTGCAGGGAGTGCTGGCCCTGAGGAGGAAGTGGGTGAGAGGGCGCCCCATCCAGCCCCGAGCGTCCCTTCCTGTCCCCTGACCTCTTCCTTCGGAGGTGGGACCGGGCTGGTGGGGTGCGCGGCTGCCCCTGTCCGGGTCGCAGTGCAGGCTGCGGTGCACAGCGGCTCTCCCCAGCAGGTGGCGCTCACGCTTCCCTTTGTGTAGTGATCCAATTGGCTGATGACCTTGAACAAGTCGCATCTGTAACTGGCCTTTTCTGACTTACATCGTTGACCCCAGGAGTCATCGCGGCTGCCTTCTAAGTGGGGATGGGGGGAAGGTTGGGGTGGCAGGGGGAGCACAGCTCTCGTCTTCACAGGGGTCAGGCCTTCTGCACTGGGGTTACGCCTGTGCCATGGCAGGGTGCAGAGGACATGCCAGGGACCCTAGGCTTCCACACGGGGGTGTGTGGGAGGAGAGTGGGCACATAGTTCACCATATTCCGGATTTAGCGGGGAAGCCCTGGTGGCAGCCATAGGCAGCGACCCTGCTGCCCGTCCACCTGGTGCTCAGGTTTGCCCATCTGGCCAGGGACGCCAGGGCTCAGGTGTGGAAACCCGCCCAAGGCCACCCAGCTAGACGGAGGTGGAAGTAAGCCACAACCCGAGTTTGTCTGCCCCAGGGCCAGCGCTGTCTCCAAGCCGCCTGCCAAGGAGACCCTCATGGCTCAGAGGCCACAGGTTGATGCCCAAATTCAGGGATCTGCAGGGCAGAAAGAGTGAGAGGAAGACTGTTGAAGTCGGACAGTCCCCAGCTCTGCTTTCTTGTCTTGCTCTATCCCTAGCAGCTGCTCTGGACCCAGGGGACAAGGCCCCTTCTCTGGGGCGTCACATGGCTGGAAACCC